CTTTATTGACATTGAGGATTGCCAAGATTAGTATTGTTATTCTGTCTAAATGAATGAATAAAATAAAGGCACTTAAAGCAATCTGTGATTCTATGTCCAGAATCATATTCAGACAACAGTAAAACTTTGTAATGGGATAGAATATGAGGGGATACGAAATTCCCCGCAAAGAGAAAAAAAATAATTGCTTGTTGCACAGGGATTTCTTAGAGTTATTCCCATAAGAACAGATGTAGAAAGATATTCGTTTATAAGACCCCACAGGACTGAGAAGTGTGGCCATGTCCAACTTGATCAAGGCAAAGTCATGCAAAATTGAATGGAGGAAAAAAATAGAATGATGGCATGTGCCCATTTGAGAGAGAAAAAAAATCCACCGATAGTGCAATTGACTAAACTTAGACTACTTTGGACATCAGCATCTGTATCAAAATGCCTCATTGCTTCCAAAATGCTGGTTTTGACTTTCAAGCCTTTTTTGGTATGGGACACACTATCTGAGGGCTTTCTCTCCATGGTTCTATATGCTTATCCCACTTACCAGAGCAGTATGCTGTGGCTCTCCTAAGCTGGTGAATGACTCTTGGCAGGCCCCAGGAGGTATGTCTTCTCTGCTATGATGCTCATCTTATGAAATAAACTTCTCCTGGACATGAGGTTAGCTCCATCCCTTTCAATATTCTTCAAGACACACAAGATTTCACTATGGAATCCAGGAATGTCCCAGGGGACAGGACAGATCTCTCAGGACTGTTTTGTTGCAGTTCACATCATCCTACATTGCTCTTATACTTTTATAGTACAATATTCCATACATTTCTTCAAAAACATATAATTTGATGGCTAACATATAGCTTATGTCAGTGAATTCCATAGTTCCAATATGTACTAGGTGAAGGACTTTATCAGTTCTAAATCTACCAATATTTACTCTTAATTGGTGATTCTAAGGAAGATGGATAAAGATTTCTGTCAATATTTTTCAGTATTTTATTTGTACTTTTGTTCACTTTCTAAACTAAAAAATAATAATTGGAGTAGCCATTCATTATAGGGGACCACTTCTAGATATCTTATCATTTTAGTTGTTCAGAACTGCATACAGTACATTATTCCAATTACAGTATTTATATGTAAATCTATAGTGTACTATATATAGTAAACCCCAATTTTGTATATGTGAAGTTTCTATTTTTAAAGCGCACTTGCATGTCAAATTTGTTCTGCCATCCTATACCTAAGATTGTATCACTGGCTGAATTATTGTTTGATACAAAGATTTTTTTTTTTTTAAAAAGGACTCATAAAAAACTCCTTTAAATAATAACTCCTTAAATAAAGCTGATGTAGGGATTAAACTGTGTACCCGAAGCCCTCAATTTATGATCATTTAGTGACAGTTTGAAGTTTCAATGGCACTGAGAAAAAAAACCTGCCTTATGACCAGTGCTCACTTTTATGACTGTTGCAGGTTCCCTGCTTTCACATGATGACTATATGAGCATTTGAAAAGTAGCATATGTTGCAGTATCCCGGGATTGCATGATTGCCACTTGTGACTTTCCCAGCTGGCTTCTGACAAGCAAAATCAATAGGGGAAGCCAGATTTTCTAAAGAACTTCATGATTACCTTAATGATAATAAAAACGGTTGTAAAACCCAGCACAACTCACTGAATGAGCACATTGTTTTGTGATAGAAGTTCTGTTACAAAATTGTAGGTAAGTCAGGAAGGTATATAGGTATATCTAAGTAATTATCTGAAACATATGATTGATCTTCAATAGAAGTAACAGTTAACAACCAGAACAAAATCTTTATGGAAGGAAAATAATATCATAACTATGATTCTAGGATAATTTGTATTTCAACAGAAAAAAATCACAGTATAGATGCTCTAATATTCTCATTGCAACAAGTAAAAAAAAACAAGTTACTTTAAAAAATGCTTTAATTAAGTAGAAAAGAAAAGCAGAAAGTAGAAAAAGAATAAAGAAAACAAAATAACAACACACATGCACACAAAGATTTTATACAAGCACATAATATGTTTATGTTTCTATACCACTATTTTATGAATGGCAATATTATATTACCATATTTCCTTGAAAATAAGGCCTCCCCAGATAATAAGCCCAATCNCTTCCCCGGTAATGGCCAGCCCTAAAGTCCCCGCCATATCTGCCCCTCCCTGTTATGACCGTGATGCTCCGGCCCACTCCCGTTTCCGTGGTTCCCTCAACCACCCCTATTCAAATTTTAAAACAGCTACAAATAAAAATAAGATTTAAATCATTATACATAATAAGTTTTTATAAATAAGTTATTTTTTTATTTAAGATATTACTTGTACACTTTTTTGTTTCTTATATTTAATTTTTCATGCTGGATGCTGTTCTGCCTGTTTTAATGTTTATTGAATGGTAATTTTTATATAAAATTTAACATTAGAAAGGATCATCTGAATGTTTTAAACCATAAATATTCACTTACAGGTTAAACTGTGTTATTACTATTCCTGCAAAAATGTACAGGAAATCCTGACAGTTTGCAATAAATTACTTGCTGTGTGTGAGTATGTTTGAAGTCCAGTTACACTCTTCTGCAGAATAATTGTGGTAGATTTCTAAGCCCTGGTTTGGTAAATAATATTTTAAAAATGCAGAATTTAGGTAGTTTCTATCTACAGAAATCATGAGGCGCAGTAATCACCAATATTCCTGAAAAAGTTGATTGAAAAAGAAATACAAATTTCCACTGAAAAGGAAAATTGGAGCTAATTGGAAAAGGCTGCACAAGCATTTCTGAATAGAAGGGATATGGTGGCTCAGTGGCTAAGACGCTGAGGTTATCGATCAAAAGTTCAGCAGTTCAGCAGTTTGAATTCCTAGCTCCACGTAATGCAGTGAGCTCCCACTACTTGTCCCAGATTCTGTCAACCTAGCAGTTCAAAAGCATGCAAAAATGCAAGTAGGAAAATAGGGAACACCTTTGGTGGGAAGGTAACAGTGTTCCATGTGCCTTTGGTGTAAAGTCATGCCAGCCACATGACCACAAAGATGTCTTCGGACAGTGCTGGCTTTTCAGCTTTGAAACGGCAGTGAGCACTACCCCATAGAGTCGGGAACGACTAGCACATATGTGTGAAGGGAACCTTTACCTTTATTGCCATAAAAACACTAGATTTAGTTCCCCCCTTTAAAATTCAATCTCACTTGAGAACTGGGCCATCTATACAGTGATTTTTTCCCCACATATCTGCCATCAGAGAAAGTTGTCTATAAAGTAGCCCAAGTAAAGAAAAAGATATTGCAAAGGCTACTGAAGCCCTACATGGCCTAGGACCCGGATACCTATGAGACCATCTTCTGCCACATACCTCCCTAAGACCAATAAGATTGCACAGATGGGCCTTCTCCAGGTGCCTTCAGCTGGACAATGCCGGCTGGTGACGCCTCAGAGTAGGGCCTTCTCTGTTGCCGCTCCGGCCCTATGGAATGAGCTACCCCCAGAGATCCGGACNTTAAATAATTTGTTTTTGGTTTATTAAATACAATTATATTGCAATTATATATTTTTGTAGTTTAAACTATAAATTGCGCAAAATTATGTTTTTGTCAAAGTGACACACAACGCGAGTTATGCTAGATTTTTTGCCGATTTTTGACACACCACGCCAAAAAGGTTGCCCATCACTGCCCTAGCAAAATCCTTACCGACATCCAGCACTTCTAGAAGAAAGCAAGTGGGACAGAACTATCTCAAAGGCTTATATGTATTTAGTTTCCCATGCAGGAATGAGCAGAATTGATTCTTCAAAACATAATTGCTTACCATTTTATGAACTAGAACTTAACTTCTTTTAGATAAATAAAATAATTCCTAATATCTCATTTAGATATTTATTATGAACCATATTTTATCATTGGTCAGTGGATCTTCCAATGGTGTTTCAATACTAGTTCTTTCTGTATAGAATAGATACTTCCCCACTCTGAATTTTAGGCTTTTAACTGCCATTGAGGAGTGTGTTTGATTTTATTGCAGCAATATTTCAATGAACTCTGAGCATAATGGCTCTGGAAGTGATGACCTATTTTGCTTTCATACCTAGTGTTTTCATGTCTTTTTTGAAAAGTAATTACTGTATTAGACCTAAATCTGTTTATCATTAACTGGGGTTATAAACTGCAAAAATTTGTTACTCATTGATTACAAATATGCTTCAGTTTTGTACAGTCCAGATAATTTACCAAAAATGAAAATCACAGCCTATAATGTGCTACTTCCATTTTTCCTTTCACAGGTTATGTTTTCTGTTTCTGATTTATTTTATGAAAGTATTCACATATATAAATATTTACTTCATCATAGCTTTACTGTATTTAATTGCTTATGTGTTGCAACTTTCATATACATTTTATATCTCATAAACTGTTGGTATAATTTAAATTAAGAATTATTAAGATATTGTTTTAAAAGCAGACATCCTCATTACATTAGAGAATTATTTTGCAATGGAAATACATTATATCTACTGTATAGTGGAGATTTAATTTGGTTCTAAATTGTGTTTAAAAACTTACAATTAGCTGGAGGTTGCAAAGATTCAAATCTGAAAAATGATGATCTTTACAACTGGTTGGCATCTACATACCAGTTAATCGTTATATCTTAAAATATAGTTTCCCAGGAGATGAAATATACTTTCCCAGGAAATGAATATTATGCTTATTACAATAAACTTTTCTATAATGAAACTAATTTTATTATATCCTTTTGCAGTAATTACTATCTTAAGACTTATATAACATGCCCATATAACATACACATTGTATTTAAAAATTATAATTGTTATGAAGTATATGCTGTCCTACTGCAAGCCAAATTTAGCTGGTTTTTTTCCCCCAAAGTTAGCAAGTGTAATTCCTGTGTATTCTGTTCAATGTATTATAAAGCAAACTTCTGAGATATAATTTCATTTTTTTTTACTATTTCAGATTAAATTTTTTTCGAGATGTTTCTGACTTTAGAGTATTGGCATGTGGTGGTGATGGAACCGTAGGTTGGATTTTAGACTGCATAGGTAACATTTTTGTTTTACATAAAACTAGTAAGTAATGTCTGAAATTTGCTCTTTTTGTATAAATCATTCTAATTTCATCAGAAGACTCCAAATTTTCTTTGCTTCACATTGGAGTAATTAAAAGAAGGGAGGTTACAGAAAGGAAATTGATTATGAGAGTTTGGGGAAATTATGAAACAGATATTTGTAGTTGTTGAGATGCTTTCATATATTGTTGATAGGAAATATCTTATTTTAATTCTTTGTTAATACACATTTTGCCAATAATATAAGATACAGTTCATCAAATGATAATATCCTACATAATGACCTTATACTTCAATATTTAAGAGATATTTAAACATAAGATATAATATATCAGAGTTGGAAGGGACTTTGGATATCTTCTAGTTCAACCCCCTGCTCAAGCGAGAGAACCTATATCATTCCAGATAAATTACTATCTAATCTCTTCTTGAAAACCTCCTATGAGAGAGTACCCTCAACTTTTGATTAATTGTTCTTATTCTAGGTTGGATTTCTATTTGATAATCTTCCACCTGATACTTCTTGTTCTGTCCTATGGTGCTTAGGAGAATAGGGTGACCATCTCTTATCTATTACAGCCCATATATTGGAATACTGCCATCATCTTACTCCTAGTTCTTCTTTTGTTACTCTAGGCATATCTAGTTTCTGCAACCATTCATCATATGATTCAGCTTTCAGACCCCTCATTATCTTTAACTCTTAAGATTTGCTAAATAGATAATCTAACATGGATGCATAATATAAATGTTACGTAAAATTAATCAATATATTAATATTTATGAAATAGTACATGTGTGTGACCTATAACTATAATGGCTTCTGCCCATTTTATGACAAATTCTGACAATCATTAAGCAAAGTAACCATATAATCAACTTGCTAAATGACTCCCATCCTTGCTCTCCCTAATGTGCTTGTTCATTGACCACACTGATCATTAAACCTCAGGGGTGAGGAAGCCATAGGAGGCCAATCAGGCCTAGACCTGTTTTTCCTGGATCTTTCCACCCTTTAGATATTCTTTCATATGCTTCCCACCCCTTTGGGACCTCATGGTCCTTAGATCTGCTTTTTCCTTCTACTGGATACCACAGGGCTTTCTCCATTACTGGCTATCCACAGGCCTTAAAACCCAGAGCCAGTCAGTCTTGCAAGGATTGAGCAAAAGACTTTCCTCTCATGTAGATCCTAATATCTCTATACACCAGGAGTAGTCGTTGGTGTTATCCCTTGGTTAGCCCAAGTATGCAATTGGGTATTATTATCATACTGATTACATCACACATATGGGGATGAATGACCTAACCCAGGTGCTCAAGTAACTAGGAGCGGGGAGAGAGAAGGATTCCAAGGCATCCACAAACTGGGGACCTTCGGCTCAACTTCTCCCCCACCCAACAGTAACTGGAACTGGCCTTGAAAAAGGGAGGAGAACCATTGCAACACAGTGTGTCTCACTCCAATCCCCAAAGGCAGGTCAGAAAGATACTGTGATTCATAGTATTAAAGCTAGTATTAAAGATACTAAACGATCAAGTTGGGGAAGGAATCCTGACTGAAAAAGATCCAGGTATTCCACTTATTCCATGGTCCTCTAGAGATGGAAGCCAACAACCTTCACCAAAAAGGAAATGTTTGAGACCATATGAAAATTGTCCAGATCTGCAGTTATAATGTATATAACAAATGGATCCATGAATGGAAGTTGATAAGATTTTTGACCGAAGGAAATGGCTACAGTCAATTATGGGAGAATCTGAAGGATATTTGGGGGAGATGCTGCAGCAGTAGCAGAAGCTTCTGCTGCATCCAAAACATAAGCTAAGAATTTGTTTGATTTTCAAGGGTACTATGAATAATAAGGTGTGTGTGTGTGTGTGTGTGTGTTTGTGAGTGATCCTGATTGATTGAATGATTATTTATTTATTTCCCACTTTCCAATAAAAATTGTATGGAAGTGTAAAAATCCATTCCAACAATAAAATTATAATTTTTATGAAATTATATATCTCCATCGAAGTTTGATAAACCTTTCACTATCTGCCTCAAGATGAAAAACCAGGAGATCTGTCATGGTTAGCTGATGCAAAATGCAAATTCAATTCAGTTTTTTTATTAGTTGGACTAGGAATCTTACTAAATCCTTTTGTTGTATTTTAGATGTATTTTTAAATTGAAGTGCCTATCTAAATCTCAGGTAGTATTACGAAAGATGAACAATTCTTTCAATTAGAAATAGTTATGATATGTGACATGCATGAAATCATTATTTTGAGAGGAAGATAGAAATAATACTTGCAAAATATAAAACATAGAAGTAAAGATTAGTGATTAAGGATAGACATGTAAAAGTTTCATTAAATGAAATTTTTTTGATTTGATTTAAAGTTTATTTATATGCCGCCCTTTTCCCTGGGGGGACTCAGGGCGGCTTACAACTTAAAAAAGGGGGGGGGAGACAAACTTTCAACATATAAGACAAATACATAATTAAAACACAACATTCATACTCGAACTTAATGGGACTGAAGATCA